TTCCCCTCCTCTTCCTTCTCCCCTCTCCTCTTCCCCCTTCCTCCTCTCCCCCTCTTCCCTTTCCCCTCCTCTTCCTTCTCCCCTTCCCCCTCCTCTTCCTACTTCCGCTTCACCCCCTCCCCCAAGGTGCCTCCGAGTCAACATCACCTGGCGCTCCCCGACCCGGTGTCCCCTCAAGTGTTGGCGCACCTTGATTGAGGCTTAATTGACTGGCGCCTCCACACGTTCAAGTTTTTTAAATGTCTGATTTATTTTTGATTTTTTGTAGTTTTATTGTTATCATTATTATCGATATTATTATCACTGTCAATATTATTATTATTGTTAGTGTGATAGTATTGTTATTATTATTATCATTAATGTTGCTAATGTTATTATGATTAATGATTATTGTTATTATTATGATTATTATTACTATTATTGTTATTATTATGATTATTATTACTATTATTATTATTATGATTACTTTTATTGTTATTATTATTATTATTATTATTATTATTTCGACTACAACAATTATTGTAAGAATTATAACATGGATTCCTCCTGTGGTTGAGAAGTTATTATATTTGATAACTCGGTTGTTTTTTTTTTCGTTTTGGGTGTTATTATTATTACATTTCTTTAGTTTCTAAATTACCTTACCTTCGTTTCTTTTGTGTTTTCTCTGCAATCCCAACCGAGAAGAAAGAATGAAAAGAAATGGAAAGAAATTATGGGAAATAGAATATGAAAGTATGGATGGTTATAGATAAAAAGTTAATTTTTTTAGAAATAAGATACAATTGAAAAAAGTGATTCGGAGCAGAAACAGTTTGAAATAGAAAAGAAACGAATGAACGATTCAGATGGAAATATAAATGAAATGAAAAAAGAAAAAGGAAATGAAATTTTTAAAAGTGATAGAAATGATAAATGAAAAAATTAAGAATAGAAAAGAAGGTGAAGGAGAAGTGAAAACAAAATTGAATAGAAACGAAATGAAAAAATATAAAAAAACAAAGATAGAATAAAATATAGATATACATATATGAAATTTCATGATATCTTCTGAATCCACTAATGCTTTCAAGAGACGAACGAGGAGAGGAGGAAGAAGGAAAAGGGGGAGAAGAAGGAGGAGGAGGAAGAGGTAAAGGAGAAGGAGGAGATGGCAAAGAAGTAGGAAGAGGAATAGTAGGAGAAGGAAGAAAAGGGGAAATGGTGAGGAAGAGACGGAGAAGTAAGGGGGAGAAGAAGTAGAAAGAAGAAAGGGGGAGGAGAAGAAGAAGAAGAAAGAAGGGAGGAGAAGAAGAAGAAGAAGAAAGGGGGAGGAGAAGAAAGAAGAAGAAGAAGGGGAGGAGAAGAAGAAGAAGAGGAGAAGAAGAAGAAGAAGAAAGGGGGGAGGAGAAGAAGAAGAAGAAGAAAAGGGGAAAGGAGGAGAAGAAGAAGAAGAAAGGGGAAGAAGAAGAAGTTGAAGGAAGAAAGAAAGTGAAGAGAAGGGAGGAAGAAGGGGGAGGAGGGGGGAGTGGTAGTGGGAAAGGAGGAAGAGCCGGGCAAAATGAGGAAAAAGGGAAGTGGAGGAGGATATAAAAAGAGGACAGGATGGGATACCGTGTGAGGGGGAAGGGGGGGGGGGGAAGTTGGTTTGGATTACGCTCTCTCTCTCGTCTCTCTCTCTCTCTCTCTCTCTCTCTCTCTCTCTCTCTCTCTCTCTCTCTCTCTCTCTCTCTCTCGTCTCTCTCTCTCTCTCTCTCTCTCTCTCTCTTTCTCCTCTTTTCTCTCTTTCTCTCTTCTCTCTCTCTCTCCTCTCTCCCTCCTCCCCTCCCCCCCTCTCCTCTCTTTCCCCTCTCCCCTCCCTTTCTCTCTCTCTCTCTCTCCCTCTCTCCTCCCTTTTTCCTTCTCCCTCTCTCCATCTCCATCTAAATCTAAACTTCGTCCTCCCTTCCGTCTCCCTTCTCCGTTTTTTCAGTTCACAAGTTGATCTCCCCCCTCCGCCCCCCCCCCCCCCATGACTGATTCAGGGTCGTTATTAAAACACCTGTGATATAAAGCGCAGGTGTTTTGCTCTTCCTACTCGACCCATTTCGTTTCTTTCTTTATAATCGTCTATTCTCTTGCTTTTTTTTCCTCCTTTTCTTGGATTACGTCCCCCCCCCCTCCCTCCTCCTTTTATTCACCCACCTTGGTTGTCGTACCCCCCCCCCCTTCCCTTTCCCAGTCTCACCCTCTGCCCCCGAAAGCGTCACTCAACACCCCCCCCTTCCCCCTCTCCCTCCTTTACCTCTCTCATCTCACCCTTGCAAGCTGTCGTTGCATCGGTTCATCCCTTGCAGCCCTATCTTGCTCTTTCCCTCCCTCCTCCTCCTTCTTCCTTCTTCCTCCTTTCTCCACCCCTTCTTCCTACTCCCTACTCCTCCTCCTTCCTCCTTCCTTCCTCCTTCCTTCCATCCTTTTCTACTTCCCTCAACTATACCCTCTTTCCCCCCTTCCTCCTTCTCTTTTCACCCCTCTCCTCCTCCTCCTCTCCTCTCTCTCCTCCTCACCCCTCTCCTATTCCTCCCCTCCCTCTCCTCCTTCTCCCCCTCTCCTCCTCCTCCCCCTCTCCTCTTCCTCCCCTCTCTCCTCCTCCTCCCTCTCGCCCCCCCTCCCCCTCCCCCCTCCCCCTCCCCTCTCCCCCCTCTCCTCTCTCCTCTCCGCTCCTCGCCCCGTCCAACCCTGCTAAGGTTACTCCTTTCCCTTTACCGAGTGTATGTTGGGGGTCCACGTGGTGCGTTCGTGTATCCACCGCCTTCCGGTCTGCCTGCCTGCCCTGCCTGCCTGCTTACAAAAACGCCTCTCGATTCTCTCCGCGCGCTTCTTGTTTCCTATCGTTGTTTCTCTGGCTTTCGATTATTATTATTATTATTATTATTATTATTATTTATTATTATTATTATTATATTATATGTATTTTTGCAATGTTTTCCGTGTTTCGTTCTTTTCTTTATTCGCTTTATTTTATCTATCGTTTTTTTCGTCTCTATTCGCCTCTATTTTTACCGGTGTTTTTTTTTTCTCTCTCCTTCGTTTCGTCGTATTTCTTATCGTTGGGGTCTGTTTATCTGTTGTCCGTCTTCCACATATTTATGATATCGGTACCGCTATGACGGCCTTCCATTTGCGAATTGACATGCTAATCTATCTGAGTTGACATGCAGTTCGGCCAGACAAGCGGCGTCCTTCGCGCGCTCGCTTCATTTGTCGTCGCCATGTGCTCCGTGCGTTAGGTTGCAGTAGGCTTAAGTCAACTGCAGCTGTCGAAGGGCAACTCATGCGACTCTGGGAACCTAGGCTGTCTCCTCGGTGCACATACGTACATATGTATACGCACGCTCATGCGCAGCACTTACGTTCATGCGCTTACGCACACGCACGCACAGGCACACACACACACATACACATACACATACACATAAATATACACACATATTATATATATTCTCTCTCTCTCTCTCTCTCTCTCTCTCTCTCTCTCTCTCTCTCTCTCTCTCTCTCTCTCTCTCTCTCTCTCTCTCTCTCTCTCTCTCTCTCTCTCTCTCTCTCCCTCTCTCTCTCCTCCCTCTTCTCTCCCCCCTCCCTCTCTCTCCCCTCCCTCTTCTCTCCCCTCCCTCTCTCTCCCCTCCTCTCTCTCGGTCCCCCTCCCTCCTCCCTCCCTCCCTCTCCCTCCCTCTCTCTTCCCTCTCCTCTCTCCCTCCCTCCCTCCCTCCTCCCTCCCTCCCCTCCCCTCCCTCCCTCCCCTCCCTCTCTCCCTCCCTCATAAATACGTATCCATGCCATCCGAATCCCACCTGTCGTCGTAGAGTCTTGGATCGTTGTCGAAGTCAGTGCCAGCGGTCGGAGGAGGTATTGAAACGTTTGGCGCGTTCGGTTAGCAACCATTGGTTTGTTTGCTTTCAGTAATACATAAATAAATAAATAGATAATATATATATATATATATATATATTAAACTAAGGTAGGGGAGGTAAGAGGGGGGCGGGGGTGGGGAGATCGCCTCACCTAACGAGCCAAAAAGCACCGATTAGAGAGAGCATTTTTGCGTCCTTTTATTTCTGCCGGGAGGGGCGGGGGGGGGGGGGGTGGTTGAAGGGAAAAAAGGGAGAGGGAGGGGAGGGGGAGACGGCGTTGAAAGAAGCGTGAAGGTTGAAAAGCAATTATTTATTTGGTGGTTTTATTCCACTATCTCTTTCAGTCTGTTCTCTCTATTCAACTTATCCTCTCTACTCTGTCTCTCTCTCTCTTATTCTTTCCTGGTATTTGAGGGATTTATTAGTGTAAAATGGGATTAATTCATTCACTCAATCACTTATCCAATCACTCACTCACACACACACTCAGACACGAAACCCGTGACATTAAACTTTTTATATATTTCACCCTGATTTATCTTGCGTTTTTATATGCCTCTATCTATCTACTTGTCTGTCAGTCTGATTTTGTCTGTCTGTCTACTTTTGTCTGTCGATCCTTTCCTTCCCCTTCCTTCAGCTTATCCTTCTCTGTCCCTTCCCTTCCTCTCCTTCTACTCTCCACCCCTCAGGTTATCCGTCGCCCTCTTTCCCTCCCTTTTGCCTCTCTTCCCTCCTGTCCCTCTTCCCCCCCCCATTGTATATTCCTCCTCTTGCCCTTCTTCCCTCCTGTTCCCCTTCCTTCCCCTTTCTGATTTATCCCCCCCTCCCTCTCTCCCTCCTTCCTTCCCTCTCTTCCCACCCTTTTTTCCTCCCTTCCTATCCGTCCTCCTCCCTCCTTCCTTCCCTCACTCCCTCTCTCCCTATCCATCCTGCCCTCCCTTTCTCCCTCCCTCCTTCCCCCCTTTCCCCCTCCTTCACTTCCATCTCTCCTCTCTCCTCCCTCCCTCCCTTCCATACTCTCCCCCACATAATGGAGGATTTAGGAGCATCGATGCCATGCTATAGATAAGGTCAGTGACCCCGTGTCAGGTCAGTGATATAACCCAGTCTTTCTCTCTCTTTCCCCAG